GGTTGTAGGGGAAGCCTAGGGTGGGGTGGGGGCTCTGTGGGGGTCCTAAGTGCTCCAGGTCCCAGTGTGGAGGGCCGGGTGTCTGGAGGGGGAAAGCTTAAAGGCAGGAAGAGGAGGCATAGATCTTGGCTGTCATCTTTGGGAAATTCCTCCTCCTACAGGACCCTTGGGTGGTCTGCTGGGAGGACAATAGCCTGCTTGAGGCCCAGCTGTTGCAGGCCTCCCAGCTGTTGCTTCTTGAAGGAGATCCATGCAGGGTGGGGGAAGGAGTCAAGCACTTTCTGGTGGTTTCCAAGCCAGGTCAGGGACCCTGTGCTGGGACTTTCTGTTCCCGGTTCTGGCCCCAGATACCCATCTAGACTCAAGATGACCCTAAAAATAGTGATGAGGGCTTAGGGGGAGGGGGAGCCCTGAACCCAGTTTCCTTAGGCTTAAAACACGGAGCCTGAGGCTCAGAGATAACTGTCATTGGCCCAAGCCATGCTGCCTTCTCCAACCACTAGTCCCAGCTCATTTCTCTCTGTGCTTTACTCCCTATGAGCCCTGCTGCACCCCACCTCACTCCATATCATGAGTCTCCAGGCCTCAATTAGAGTAGGCTTTCAAAACAGGTTGGAGGGAGGGAAGGAATGTCATGAGCGGAGGGGGAGCATGAAGAGGAAAGAGGCCAACTTAGTACTGAGCCTTCCCCAGTACGGCCTTGGCCCAGCCTCTGCTGAGTTCTGAGGCCTTAGGAATGGATCGAATCAAGCCCCCCCGGAGCTCCCAGTCTGAGGCGAGTGTTCTTTATCATTTCAAGCCTTAGTGCTTAGGGCTCTGGGCTGCAGCCCATGAGGGGTGGCAGGAACCAGGTTTACTTTCTCTAAATCACCAGGGTGTGGCTAAGGCCCAGACTGGCCTGGAGATAGCCAAGCCTCCTAACACTGAAGGGAAGATCTGACCCTGCCCCTCAGCAGAGGCCTCTGCTCCTTCCAGAGACAAAACACTGAACTTCTCAGCACAGGAAGGGACCAAGTGACCACCTTGGCCAGCACTACAAATAGAGAAAGTAAGTCCCAGAAAGGGACAGATGCAGACTGAGCATTGGATGCCTGGCACATGATCATGGGGCCGAAGCAAGTTCTCCATTTGGTTCACAGCTGCCTAATATCTGGCCCAGCAAGCAAGGCCCGACCTGGAAGAAAATATTCCTCTGCTCCCACACACTACCCACTCCTCAGTCACTAGCACCCAGAGAATAGCTTGCTTTGTCTGGAGCCAGTGGAGAGGTGCCCAACGTGGGTGAGGCTCACCAGTGTGGGGTCTGTGGAAAGACAGAGGAAGCTCCAAGAGCATTGACACAGAGAGGAAAGGGTTTTGGCATCAGGTAAAGCTGGCTTCTGGCCTCCACTCTGCTGCTTTGCTTGCAGGGTGACCTTGGGTGAGTCACTTTCCCTCTCTGAGCATCTGTTTCCTCGACTATTAGAAAGGGCGTGAGCATGTCACTGCATTCTCATAGAGCCAGTGATGCAGAGCTGAAATTTGAACCTAAGGCAGCAGGTGCTTTCTCTTGCCCCACCTATCTGCCCTGGATTGCCTCACATTTGAACCCAGAAGAGCTGGAGAGAGCAATAGAAGCAACACCAGGAATAAGGAAGGGTCAACCACAAAGAAAGGGTTAACAGCATACGGAAGAGAGGTTGCTTCTAGCTGGGAGAATTGGTCTTTCAGACCAGTTGGTTTCCTGGAAGAGTTGGTGGTTGAAGGAATTGGAAAACAGGGCAAGTTTCAGCAGAATGGGATGTGGGCGGGGCACGGGGTTTGCTGGTGAAGGGAAGCTGAGCAAAGGTGTGGAGGTGGGACAGTGGCTTTTCTAAATCACAAAATGGGCCTGGCCTTAGGAGAGCATTTCCTCCAGCCCCTCCCCCACAGACAGGGACGCTCTGCCTGATGCCTAAGGGCACATGGTAAGCTAGTGGTGGGTCTGACTGAGAGCCAGGTCAGACCATGACCCTTTTCTCTTATGTCTGTCCCTGGCTGGGACAGCTGGCGCCTCTCCCTCCAGCGAGCTGGGACAGAGTCTCCTCAGGATCCAGGCTCTGTACCTGTCCCACCTGCATCCCCACATCCCTCAGAATGCTCTCAGACCAGAAAGAGAGCCTGGGGGAAGCGTGGCAATGGCTCAGGTTGGGGCTCAAGGAGATAGGCCAGGTGTGGCTTCTGGTGGCAGAGTGGGCAGATGCTGAGATCAGCCTCCTGCTGTGTGTGTAGGTGGTGGTAATGGTAGTTGGGTGTGAGGGGGAGGGAAACTAGAAAATATTCCAAAACTGAGCCTTGCAGGGGTCAGAATAACAGGGATAGGGCAGGGCTGGGGGGCAGGTGCAGTATAGCAAAAGTCTCTAATTTAGTTTCTTCCCGTACCTATAGGATCACCAACCCTCCCATCCCGTAGCTTGCCAAGGCCTATTGGGAATTTGGTTTGTCAGTGGCCCATCTCCAAACCAACCTATCCAAATCTGACCTCATTGTCATTTATCCTGTGAGACCCCAGAGGAAGTATCTATCCCCACCCTTCCTGCCTCGAGATGGTCCCCAAGCCATGGCTGTGACATAGTCTTAGTCTGCTTGCTGGGCCCACAAAGCCCTCCCTACTCAGCCCACACAGCTCTCCCTGCCATGCTCCAGAGAGCAAGCTTGGCCTTGCCTGAATGGGTATGAGGCTAACACAGTTAGGCGAAGACAGACAGCTGGAGGGAGGCCAGAGGTGGTCGCTGCAGGGTATCTACCCAGTCTGGGCCACGCTGTCCAAAGATCCTTTGTTTCTTCCACCTCCATCACCCTGCCTAAGAAATGCTGAGCTGGGCGTTCTGTTCAGAACCACCGACCTCTCCACTTGGTGCTTCAGCCACTCTCCAGGCCTGGCTTCTCAGGCTTCAAGACATTTCCCCTCTGGCCTCCTCCCAGCCCCACAGCCAGTGCACATCGGTCTCTGCAGTCTTGTCTGTGCTGATCTTTCTGTTGCTCTGTCTGCAGATCTGTATGTCTGTCCTGTATCTGTGTCCGTCTCCTTCTCTCCCTCTCTCTTACTGCCTCGCTTCTCTTTATTTCTCCCAGTCTCCCCTGCAGCCTTCTCTGGGGCTGGTCTCTGCGTGCTTCCTGGTCCCTGCACGTTCCCGCAGATACCTGCTAATCTCTGTCTTCTCCCTCTGTCTCTGTCCTTCGGTCTTGGCCTTTGTCTGACGTTGCATATCTCTGGACTTGCTGTCTCTGACTACACTTCTCTCTCTCTTTTTCTCTGCTGTGTTTGTCTCCATCTTTGGCTGCTTCAGAGAGGGGAAATAGGGCTTGGTGAAGGGTCCAAGGGGGCTACCTTTCCATTGCCCTGTTGGTCGCTGTGTCTGTTAAGGGAGGTTAGGCTGGCTTCCCTGAGTCCAGCTGAGTAAACAGAGTCTCCTCCTGCCCCTCCCGCAACTCACTCATTCATTCAACACACTCTCACCAGGGCCAGCCATGTGTCAGGCTGTGTAAGGAACCACAAGCCCCCCCTCACCCCAGCACACTCATTTTGTCTCAACAGCTGCACCCTCCACATTGAGAATGTGGCCCCCATACTCCCTCCCGATACCCCCTCCTTACTTCATCCAGACTTACCTATCCTGGGTCCCATGACTGCTAGGGTGCAGTGAGTTCCAGCTCCTATTTCAATCCCAGGACTGGAGCTTAGCAGGAAAGAGAGAGAGAGCCCTTACTGGGGACTCCCAGAGACAGCAGCCTCAAGCCGCAGCAGGGATGCTGTAACGTGGGGACTCCGAGCACTGGGCCAATGCTTTTTGGACCACACTGCACGGCAGCTCCCTTTCCCAGGTGTGGGTTAGGAAGTCCTGCTCAAACCTGACCCCACTCTCCAGGTGCCTGTCTGCCTTGTTCACTTGTTTCTTCTCTCTCTCTGCCCTGGGCCCCTCTCTGTGCCCCAGCTTGCAAACTCACAGTCTCTCTCTCTCTCTCTCTCTCTGGATTCCTCTGATCTCTGACTGGGACAGCCCAGGGCCAGTTGTGTAGGAGGCTGGGTTTGTTTAGATCCAGCCCCGCTGATGGGAGGAGGCTGCTGTCTCACAGCCCTTCAGCCGGCCTGTTCCTTCCCAGCCTCTTCTCTCAGCATTTCCCTAGGATATTTTCTCCTACTCTGTTAGCAGTGGAGAGGTGTGGCCAAAGGGAATGTCACCAAGCCCTGGGATCACTCAGTCCTGACTCTTCTCTCCTCACTGTGCTCCCTGATCCACTAACCTCTTGTCCCCCTCGCTGAACTTGTTACTGTCCATGAGCCCCACAGAGAGCCCCTGTTTCCCCACTGTCCTCCACTGAACCCCTGTCCTCCTCAAGCTCTGGTTTCCTCTCACTGACCCCCATCTCCTCTCTGAGCTCCAAGGATTTAGAGCAATGAGGGACTCTGCCCACTGGGAATCGTAGTGGCCAGCCCGCCTGGCAGGGACTCACGGTAGCAAGGTCCATAAAGCATGGCCACTTCGATGTGGGGGTGGGGTGGGGGTGGGGGAGGAACAGAAGCGCAAATATGAAATTCCCAGAGTTTCCTGGACTAGGCTGAGGATGGAGGACTTGGAGCCAGACAGACCTGGGTCCCATCTCAGCCCTGTCATTTGCTGATCAAGTGGCCTTAGGCAAGTCTCTGCACCTCTCTGAGCATCAGTTCCTTCATCTATGAAGAAGGAACAGCATTCCTCACTTGCAGGGCTGCTGTGAAAGTTTAGCGAGCAAGAAAGAAGCCAAGTCTGAAGGCCTGGAGCTCAGTGAAGGGGGCGGCAGAGGGGGCTCAGAGCCCGCAGCTGGAGGGAAAGCAAGCCCGCCTCTCCTCTTCCCCCTTACTCAGCACTCAGCCCATCGGCGCCCTGCTGTTGAGCTATAGGCCAGGAATTTGTTCCCTCAGGTGACAGATAAGGGACTGAGTCTCTGGGTCTGCCCAGAGGTTGCCGAGCTAGTAGGTGAAGCCGTCCCAGTTCCAGGAATGAGGTCTTCGCAGGAAACTGGAATGTGGGTTTAGAGTCTGATTTTCAGGGCGCAGTGACTGAGAAATACTATCAGTGCCACGTGGCTCCTGGTGGCTGTCTAAGGATGTTAGGAGGAAGTGAGGAGTATTTGGAGTAATCACAGATCAGCCTGGCCCGTGGCAGACATTGCGAGTCCTAGTAAGATTGGCGGAGGTGCAACTTTCCAGATTCCAAATGGAAGGTGCACGGCTGAGAGAGGGAAAGTCCCTCCAGGCTTTCTGGAAGTCCAGCTGCCCCCATCTTGGCCTTGGGGGATGAAGGAATTGTACACATGCATTAGTCTGGGTATGTGCTGGGACTACATTGCCTGGAGAAGTTCACCTCATCAACACACAGCACCCCACAGGGCATGGTGAATGCAGGAACTGTCTTCACGTATCACCTCAGCCTCCCCAGGCGGACACGGCCTGGGCCAAGAATGTTCCTGAACTAATTTGTGGACTTGAAGCAAGGGTCATGTACCAGAGAGCCTCTGGGAGTTAGTCAAACAGGCTCTCAGATGGCTCTTGGGCTAATCCTGCAGTGAAGTCCCACTGTGGGTGGCCCAGGCTGAGGTTTGACCAACCCGTTTGCATCCCAGCTTCGCTACTCGCCAGGGTGGCATTCACTGAGCCCTGTGCACTTCACAGAGCCCCACGATGAGTGTGGGTAGCAACACCATCTGCCAGTTCCCCAGTTTGCAAACTTGATACTTTTTCTGAGTCCGGTGCTGTTGGCAAAGCCTGGCATGGTTTGCAGCTCACAGGGCCCCGTGATGTTCGCACAGTCTTGTGTGTTTGTGCCAAGCCTGAGGCTGTTAGTAAAAATCTCAGGCTGTTTGCAGAACCCAAGCCCTTCTCCTCTCTACATCTATCCATATAGGGAAGTGCCTTTTTGCAAACCAGGCAAAATAGGAGACTTCATTTTACAGAACTCTCTAAATTTGGGTGGAAGGGAAGAATCCTGGGCTCCAGACTCAAGACCTCAATTCTGGTCCCAGCCCTGTCACTACCTTGCAGTGGGACTTTGAGCAAGTCCTTTCTGCTCTCCGAGTCTCGGTTTTCTCATCTGTTTAAAGGCAATTGTGAGGTCAAGCTGCCCATCCTCTGGACTGTTATAAGGATCACTATGAGGATGCCCAGAAGACACAGAGTGGAGGGAAGGAAGAGTGGCCAGAGGCTTCTTCCCGAAAAAGGTTCCAAACTGCCACCTCAGCACCTTTGCTCCCACTTCCCCCTGGCCTGGCAGCCAGGGAGCGGATATCTATAAATGAGCCCTCTTCCTGGCAGACAAGTGAGAGCCTCAGTCAGAGCCTCAGCCTTCCCCACTCCCCAGATGCTGCCTAGGGGTTAGACGCCAAGCTGTGCAGACATGCTTCCATGCATGGCTCATTAAATCTGCCCAAGGAAGGCAATGTCATAGTTATTTCATCATGAGGACTCTGACATTCCGAGGGGCCATGTAACTTGTCCAGGACTATAGGTCAGGTATATAGCAGAGGTTGGGATCTGAGGAAAGGACTCCAAGGATGGACGTAGACACTCAGGAGGTCAGAGCACGAAGGAACCTGAAGCTCATTTAATTCAACCCTCCTCTTTTTTAGATTGGGAGACTGAGGTCTGAAGAGAGGCAGGCTCTGCTGTGTGTGTTGTGACTGTCTGTCCTTAGGTTTCGGTTTCTCTCTCTGGTGAATGAGATACAGACCCCATCCTGCCGAACATTCAGGACTTCCCCATCTTTGTTGGCACGGCTCTTGGATCAGAACACAGGAAACTTCTCAACCCTGTGAGGAGAAGCTCAGCTAGGCAGGTGGATGTGTACGTAGCCTGGCTCCTCAGCCCTACTGTTGTAGGCGGCGGAAACAGCACCAGGTGTTAGACATGTTGGGTCAGACTGGACCTGGGTTCAGCAACCTCGGTACTTATGTTCTGGGTAGGAAAGAATTCAGAGTCAAGACTCAAACTATAAGAGAACATTTATTTATAAAATCACAGAGATGGAAGAAGTAATTCATAGAAGAAATGGGCTGAGGAAACAAGTTACAGAAGCAAAGAAAGGGCCCTTGAGAGCTTAGGAGTGAGGAAAGTAATGGTAATGTGCCTGAAGGGAAAGGGAAAGGAAAAGGGTAAGGGAAAGGCCCAGGCATGCTCTCGGGAGGGACAAAGCACTGGGTCCTCTGTCCTAAGGGTTTTTGGAGATTTTAGGGGAGATCCCAGGGGAAGACCTCAATAGAAATCTTCATCAGCTTTCCAGGTGTGTCCTTTCAGGGTCTAGGTCTCCACTAACTGATTGGTAGGTGCCCGGGCAGGGGGTCATTATCCATTATAGCTGGTCAGGTCAGCTGTGAGGTTGCTGGTCTGATTTTACTGCTTTTCTGGGCCTGGAGCTGAAATACAACTGAGGCCTAAGTGTTATCTCTAGAGAGGAAAGATCAGGGGGTCCAAACTGCATGACTAGGGGAGGAAAGGTCCACCCTTGGGGCAAGGTCCCACCTTACAACCGTCCTTGACTAGGCACCCAGGCCTTTCCACCCTGGTGACCTACTGTACCTGGCCCATCGTCCTTTCTCTGCTCATGTCTGTCTAACTGCCTACCATACCACCACCTTGGCTCAGCATAGCCAGCTTTGCACAGCTCATGCTGAACTCTCTCTACAGCTTAAACCCCTGGAGGTTCCTCCACAGGAAGCCCTTCTGCCCCAACTGCAGCCTTCCCGTGGGTCCAGCTGCCTCCACTTCCCACCAGCCTCTCCCCCCAGCCTAGAGAGAATACATACCATGCTAGAAGCTCTGCACCCCTCCCTGAAAGTGGCAGCCCTATGCCCCGGAAAGAGCATGAGCTTGGGCATCAGATAGTTCAATCCTAACCCAGTAAGAAGATCTCTGAGACGCAGTTTCCCATCTGTAAAATTGAGATGACAGGAAACCTCCCGGAAGAACTGCACTAAATCTCATCATCTCAACTTATCTTCAACTCAGAATGTGCATAGGTTCTCTCTCCCAGGAGATTGTAAACTCCCCCGAGGCCTAGCTGGGTGACCTGAGGCTAGGTACTTGCCCTTTCTGATCCTCAGTGCCCTGGTCTGTGCAATGCCTTCCCATGGTTGTCATAAGGCTCAGATGAGCTGATGGATGAATTAGTCCTTTTAAGTTCTGAGAGCTGAGCAGACACAAGCCATTATTATTATGGTGATAAAGGTAATGGCCATGACTTATAGTTCTGATAGCAGAGGGAAGAGAGAAGTAAATTAGGTGTGTGCCAGGTTGGTCTGACCTGACAACCCCATGAAAATAAAACACAGGGAAAGGCCCCCTGAGCTGGGAGGGAGCTCCAGGCAAGATTGGGGTTCAGCAGGCAGGTGGAGTGTTAGCAGGCCATTGTTAGCAGCTGTTGTTCTGTGAGTACGACAGAGCTGGGCCCTCTTATAGGGTCCAGACTGGGCATTGGCTGGCTCATGGCCCCCTGCTCTGGCTCTGCTACCAGTGCCAACACACTGGCATTGGTCAGATACCTCAGTTGGCCTGGCCCTCAGTTTCCTTATTATAAAATGGTGGTGGGGAAATAAAAGAAAGTTCTCATTCTGCTCCATCCCTGCCTTTTGGGAAGGACCACATGAGATAATGGATGTGCCATTGCTTTTGTACAGTGTCAAGTGTAGGACATGAGGGATTACAGTTATTAATAATTAGGCTCCTGGGAGAGAAGACATGGGGGAGAGGATGCCGGGAAGGCTAAGAGAGAAGACAGGGAGCCAGCATATGCCCCTGGCTGCAGGTTGTTTGGAGCAAAGCCCCAACTTCCTGAAGCCTTTGCAACACTGCCCCCTGGGGGCCAGAGAAGAGGTCTGTGCCCAGGTGATCAGGGAAAGTGGGCTGGAAGGACTACTGTCAGAGGAGGCTGAAATGGATAGGCCAGGAGACACCCCGTGAGAGCAATCACTGCCTGCTCCC